CAAAGGCCCAGGTAAGGGAGGCAGACACCTGACTGTGTGAGAGAGCTGGGAGGAAACTGTCTTCACACATCAGGCAGGAGCCACAGAACAGTTGACCAGACACAAGTGGACCTGCCACTGTCATTTTCACATACAGAAACCGTGATGATGCTATTTCAGCACTGTCCCTGCATTCGAAAACATGACTTGTACAGTGGTAGCCCCGCCAGGCTGTGTTCTTCCATGGCGGGAGGCTGACATCAGTTGTTGTCATCAGTGTAGTAGGCTCTTAGTACTCCAACTTTAAGCACAGTAAGAAAAGTAAACTTCAGAGTGCTAACCTATCAGACTAGAAAAATAATTAGGAATATGTAACTTTAAAAGGATTCCCTGAGGAATAGTTATAGTCGGGCAGGAATAATCAAGATAAGACTGGAATGTCCTATTGTGACCTCAAAGCAAGGGGATTTCAAAGAATGTCAAGGACAGTTCTACAAGGTCAAAGAAGCTGCTGACCAGAGCGCACTCCCACTGGCCAAACTGAATCCATCTGGTCCACCGACATAAAGACACTAATTTTGGTTAAGTCTGTTCAAGGTCAGGAAGTCCAAATGATCAACAAAAGAGAACAATGTCAAGAGTACAATAAGGAAGTTGTAATACAAAGAGAAATAAAGCTGGAACTATATGATTATTTGTATTGAGTTTAGCAAGCTGTGAAATATTATTAAAATACAGGTATCCTTTATTTTTTCATTGGTTGAGTACAACTAGGTACTTATTTTTATGTTACTTATACTACACATATACTGTAGGAAAGAATAAAGACCTTGCTTAGAGAAGGAAGCCAAGTCATCTTGGAAAATCATGGAAGTATTCCAAAATAAGGATGGAGGAATGCAGCATGTGATTAACACAACCAAGTGGGAAGGGGTTCAGTACTGATAGCCACTCAATAGTCAAACAGAGAGAGGACCTAGAAACATGATCAGAGAGGATAAATCAGTCACCTGGCCTAAAGATCACCATCCTTCACCTCCTGGGGGAGAAACCTCCAGAAAGCCCAACTAATTTCAAGAAAATAGTCAAAAGGCATACATAAAATTTTAATAATGCTAGCAGATCAGGCAAATGCATCATGATGACAGGACAATGGGTTATGTAACACTGGCTAAGGGAGACATGGAAATAAATAAATTTCTGGGTGATAGGATGAGGGGTGGGACCAGGAACCAGACTGAGAGACATATGCTAAAAAATTCTAAAGGTTTGATTTATTTAACAAGTAAAGTTCAACTTGCTCGCTGGTAATAGAATCACTCATGTTCTAATTGACAAGTGATTGGTCAGAAGCCAAATCTTTGTCCTTTGCAGGTTGAAAGGGATATTAATTCTTTTGTTTCTGGTACCCATTAGGGTCATGTCAACTCTGGCTAGTCATCAAAACACAATATAGACCAAGATGAGTCAGAATTAGTGTAGAAATAATAAGCACATGAAAATTAAAGGGTGGATCTTTAACCACAGATTTTTAAGTATGCTAGGTTTGGAATAAGTATTTCACCTGTGCTTTAAGGTATTTGAAGTGTTCAGAAAATCAGTTCTGAAAAGGATTCAACTTTATAAATAACATTTAACAGTAGTTTAATAAACTGAGCAACAAACAACACACAAAAAAGCATGTCTCTCTATGCAAAAGGCTTCTACTTAGAAAAAAAAATCATTAGCAAGACTTCCTGAGTCACTGTATAGACTTTGACATTCCAAATGAAGCTACAAAAAGAATATATGCCACACCTATATTTTAAGTCCAAGACACCAAAAATAATCACAAAAGTGTTTAACTTTTATTCAGCTGACTTGGTATTCAGCTAACAAGCACTTTTACTTCTTCATTTGATATTGTTTCTGAATTTCCTTTTCCCCCACAAAGGATGTATTTTCAAGAAAAATAATTTTTAAATATTAAAATAATTGCAAATTATTTTAAATGAGCAAACTAATAAACATTTCTTTGAAGAAAGAATGAGGCCATCATCATGAGGTGAATCATTGTACACCTTGAGGTTTCCTCTGGGGCTGCCGTGTTGGCCTTCCCAGATTCTGGGCAGGAGACACCAGGCCCAGCTGGCAAAAGGAGCAGCAAGCAGGAGGCCTCAGGGGAAAGGGGAGGGGCAGGTGGCAGGTGGGGGTATGGGGGGGGGGGTGACATGCAAACAGGAAGCAAAGGGAAGAGCCAGGAAATCTTAGTGAAGTTATTATTAAGCCCAAACGGAGAAGACAAGGGACAAAAGACAAGTTGAAAGCACCAAAAGGGAAATTCGCAGATCAAGCCAGGCCTATAAGGTAGGGCAAGAAGGTGGTAGTGCCTGGGTACCTGCAGCACCGTCCCTCTGGGCTCTAGGTTACATTCAGAGCCTCTGAACTGTCTGAGTCCTTATCAGGTAACAGCAGCTCTACACCAGCAATGTTGCTCTATCAAAGCCCGGGTGTCATGGTTGAAATGTGTGTACTCATGTCCAGCATCACATCTAACAATGCAGCAAGGGCAAGCTCGCTGTGCTTATCAAAGGGCTCTGATACCCAGCTTGTGTCTGGCCCAACAGAACATTAGATTAGCCTCATCTGCATAACTGATTGCACGCTACACCATAACAGGAAATCTTGTGATAGTAAAAGCTTTAGGCACACTTGAGACTTCTCAGTTTCATATGAAAAGGCAGCCTTACAATAAGTCTAGCAGAGAAAAAAATGAAGAGATTATCCCAGGAATGCTGTTTATTAAGTAACGTTTAAAGATAAAATGCCTAGGGACTTCTCTGTTGGCCCAAGGGGTTAAGTCTCAGCACTGTGAAGCTATTGGCAGCCACTGCAACACGAGTTTGATCCCTGGGTAAGGAGCTGACCCACATAGCACAGCAGACCTCTCCTGACCTGCCCTCTACTCCCCTCAGCAGTGTATTTCTGTCTATCCACCTGTTCTGCTCCCTACTCTGTCTCTGGTGAATTCCCAGCCTCCCGCTGGTGAATACCTCACCCCGCTGCACCTCTGGCCTATGCCCCAGTTCTTATATGTATTAATAAAAAATATTAAAAAAAAAATAAGGATAGGGCCTTCCCTGGTGGCGCAGCGGGTTTAAAGCACAGCACTGAGAATCTGAAGCCACTTCCGCATGAGTTCAATCCCCGCCTGCCCCGGAGGAGATCCACATGGTGTGGCAGACCTCTCCTGACCCGCCCGCTGCTCCCCTCAGCAGTGTACTTCCTCAATCTGCCTGTTCTGTACCCCGCTCTGTCTCTGGTGAAGCCTCTCGCCCTCCGCATCTCTGGCCTGTACCCCAGTTCTGTACAAATGAATAAATAAATCTTTAAAAAAAAAAAAAGGATAAAATGTCCCAATTAAGGTCAGATCTGGGGAAAGACATGCTGGACAGGTAACAGGCAAAGTTCAGGGATGAGTGATGGTAACAGGGACTTCCAAGATGAACAACTAAATAACCAAATCCCTGCTAGAAAAAAGAAACACCAACATTTGCATACAAATGACAATAAACAAAAGTTTGCCTTTTTGTCTGTTTACAAGCTATCCAAACCATTGTCAAAACTGTAACAAATATAACATTTGTTAAATCTCAGCTCAATTCTACATAACTTCTTTAACAGAATAGTGACATCATGAGAAAGGAATTTACCACATCATCGCTTTATAAGCTGCTTAACATTAACACCCCAGGTGTTTAAGCTTATACAAGACACCAGCATGATACAGATTTGGAGATTAGCACCGTGATGTATGGATATGATAATATCATTAAATGAGAGTGGCTGGTTTTGCAGGTCACAAAAACAGAACTAAGTGCTAAGTGATCATTCTGTGCACTGAAAATAGTTGACAAAGAATGTTGGGCAATGTGTTTTAAAATATTCCTCAACATAAGCACTTTTGGACGAAAGGCTTTTAGAAAAACTGCTGGCATAATGAGAACACTAGACAAGAAGGTAGGCACAGACATGGACTTTTCCTCAATTGTTCTAAAATGTTAGGATTAAAAAAAAATCATACAAATGGCACCCACATTTGGGCTGTATTTCAATAAGCTGTCAACTTCCTCGTAAGTACAGATTTGGGGGGAAGTCAAATTATATGACATAATCAAAATTCTTGTCCAGTGGGCCAGCGTTGCCATGAATTATTATAGAAACCTTCTTCAGAGAGGAAGAAAGCCAGGAAGAAGTTAATATAAACCTCTAGGCAGAAGACTTTGCCAGGAAAATGACTTCTAGTGATATAAACACAAGACAGATGTTCCAAAAGAAATTTTAATTTTAATTGGACATGAAGTCTCCCAGCCATTACCTATATGCACATGAAAATGGTCACTAACTGGATTTTTAGGATCATCTATATTAACACCTAGAAATCCCATTTCTTATACACCAGTAGGATAAAAAATTATCTGAGAATGAGTAAAATTTCAGCATTTTCAAAGTTTAAGTAATAGCAGAAATATTTTTATTTGATGAATGCAAAGTAATTCTGTATCTCCTTTATTCTTAAAGTTCTACTGACTAAAAGGGCAAAAGAAACCATTTCTATACTGAGTTTTATTAATTTATGGTAAGAGTTGAACAAACTGGTAATTTTAAGACTCAAAATTATAAATACCATTAGAGTTGTTCATTTGCTGTATTTCAGCTATACTTGTAAACTGTATTATAGATGAAGGTATATGAACATATTAGATCCCTGGAAGTTTCAGCTTACATTTTCTCCTTATTATACTTAAGCTTTTCATTCATTTTATGATTTTCTATTTTTAATTAGATTTTAAAAATCAGGAAAATATTTTTCAAGTTCAAAAATTGTTGTTACATGACAATTATTTTTGTAGCAGCAAACTAAAAACAATTCAATTTAGTAAAAATTTCTTCAAGTTAATAACCTAAGGTCTCTTAATTGTGAAATTACGGTTTTATTTAAATTTACTTCCTAGACTTTTTAGTTGTACTATTCCCCCTACCTCAGAGCATGAATGCAATATATCATTCTTGGTATGTTTTTCCGGTCATACACATCTGTTGTTTCTGGATAAAATATCTGGAAAAGAAAAGAAGTGATGTATTATTATGTTTGGCTTGTCACAATTACTTGAATGCTCCCAAATGATGCTATTTTGACCCTGTTCTGATTTATTTAAACACAGAGGAACTGTTAGTTGTTGCCTATCTTGCTCCACCTTGGGTCCCCTGCCTGCCTGACCTCACAGCTTCTGTGAGGTGGCTGGGACAGGGGCGTCAGGTGGCCCAAGGTTGAGTGGAAGTATCACTCTGTGAGCTCTGAGTTTGAGGTCTCCTACCTGAGTTGTGGGTTTTTTATTACATTCTTGAAATCCTGGCCACATAGTTGTAAATATATAAACACACTCTTATGACACGCACACAGACATTTTTTCCGCATGAATTTAAATCTAGTTAGCCAGAATATGAAGAAAAAGTATCATTTCATCCTTGCCCTCAACTCCCTGCCCCCAAGTGTGACTAGTAACATTCTGATATGTATTTTATCCAGTGTTTTTACATTTAGCTCTGATTTTTCTCATTTTGTATGTGTGAAAATAAAACTGTATGTATTGTAAGCTTAGACAATGGAGAGACATAACCGTTTCCAGCCCCTTCATCATTTTATAAAATTTCTAATGGTTGCATGTGATCCTTTCATGTTTTTGAACATAATTTAATCAGTTCCTCCATGGCTGAACATTTTTTAGCCTCCAAGTTTTTCTTTATTATAAGTCACTGCAACGAACATTCCTGCATTTTTTGAGTACTGATTGCTTCTTTTGGATAAACATATAATATAAAGTTACTAGGCTGGGAGGTTTGAACATAAGGCCTTTAACAGACATCTACACTATTCCTGAGCTTGAAACTGCGAGCTTATGAGAATGGGGCACCGAATTGATCTGCTCCAATGAATGCACAAGTGTGGGTCCATTTGATACTCAAGTACAGTTTTCAATTGGACATTGAAAAAAGCTGATAAAAGAAAGAAGCTATGTTTCTTGAGCTGAAATGTATAGTCGTTGAGCACATACAGGTGTATCTCTAACCTAGGAAATGTCAAAGGTTTCTGCAATGTTCCCTTAACATATTGCCATGAAATGTTGCTGAGTAGCGGATCCCTAGACAGAAGAATGTTATCAAGTTTGCAGTTTTACTGCATAGGCAGAGGACAATGACAGAGTCCCTTTCCTTTAAACAACAAGCTTTTATATTTATATTTCTCCTGAGAAATCACAATGAGTAGGTCTTCTAGCAAGGAGACGGGATCACCTTATAGTTCACCAAAGTGTTTTCGTCACCACTGGATCTTAGTAACCTAGCAAGATGCAGGCAGTAATACTGACAAGTGAAGGAATGAAGAGCAACCCAATACATCAAAGTCAATTCAGTCTCTTGTCCCTGCCATATAAATTTTGATGAATTCAAAGCAAACATCAATGCTACAGTGGAATCTGCTACGTGAATCATTTGTTAGGCTTTAAATCAAAGGAAATCTGGCTCAACATACACACAATTTGGAAAGGTTTAATAAAATCTATCCAACAAAAAGTATATCTGAATCTAAAGTATAGCCTCTGAAAAACCCTTTTAAAATTTCCTTCTTAATCTGTTTACTACACAGTCCCCACTTAGTACTTTGGAAATCACAATCTAGAAATATGAATTCTGTATCACTGTGAGAACCCAGAAGGGAACAGCATTTTACGTTCTGGGTACTTTAGGAGAGGAAAAAGTAGTGATTCAAATGGCAGAATAAGTTAATATTGACTATTTTGAGATAAAATAAGCTGAGTTAAAACAGAGATGAGCACCAATATATTAAAAATAGAAATTCATAATTTAAGGAGTCATTTGGATTTGTTATGGTGGGTACTTTTAATTGTAAAGCTGGATTAATAACAAGAATACTACAGGTTTTGTTCAGTCAGTCTTCTACCCCTTGTCTCCAAGCTGGATCACCCCTAAACAATTTGCAATTATTTAAAAATTAATGCACAGGTGTTAACTATTAACATACCAACATTTTATAGATCAGGAGGGGATTATGTTTAGTGAAAAAAGTGAATCTCAAAAGGCACCTATTGTTTGATGCCACCTCCATGACATTTTCAAAATGACAAAACTGAGATGGTCACCTGCAACAGGGCTGGGGAAGGGATGAGCAGAGAGCCTGCCCCTCTGAGGTACCTCCATCATAATTGTGGGTGAGGCTGTAGAGAAACACACGCGCTCTCAATGCATGTAAGAGCGATGAGAGCTGAAGAAAGTCTGCAGTCATCACATGAATCCACCAGTGTCAGCATAGCATTGTAGGGCAGTGATGAGATGCCCCCACTGGGGAAGCTGAACGAAGGCTACACAGAGATGTACTATTTTTGCAACTTCCTGGGATCCGATAATTATTTCAAAATAAGTTTAAGAAATTGCTCTAAACTTTCTACAAAATGTAATCATTGCCTCATTTCCTCCACTTGTCTATTTGTCTCACAGGCTTAGATGTGCCCGCTCGTTAAATCTGACAAGCTCTGAATACCTGCTGAAGGAATTTTATTTTCAATATCTATTTCAAGAGAGCTATAACCTTCTAGTCTTTAAATAGAAAGTGATAGTAATCTTTATTTTTTTAAATAAAGATCTAATTATTGATATATACAAGAACCGGGGTGCATGCCAGAAGTGTGGGAAATGAGAGGATTCACAAGTGACAGAGTAGGGAACAGAACAGGCAGATTGACTGAAATACACTGCTGAGGGAGCAGCAGGTTAGACAGGAGAGGTCTGCTGCACCATATGGGTCACCTCCCTGGTGGGCCAGGTATCAAACCTGCACTGGCTGCAGTGGCTGGCAGTAGTTTGATAGTGCTGTATCTTTAACCCCTGCACCAGCAGGGAAGCTGATGCTACGCGTTATAATAATACTTTACAAATAAATTTATATGTAAGTTATAGTGACATAATGAGACCTAGAATCTTAAGTGTTAATAGCAATGCAAGAAAAAGGCTGTGGCTATTTGAAATCAGCTATCTACCAGTTTAAGTTTGTTCTTGCCTTGTTTAACTTATAAACACCTTTGCCTGACTGCTCTCCACCTGTAAAGACATGTCAGTGTGAGTTCCTGCCATCTATTGCTTCTACTACACCTTTCCATATCTCTGCTTAGTAGCTTTCACATCTTTCCTTGGTGAGGCTATAATCTCTGCTGATTTAACACATCCCAGTCTGCCAGATCATTTCCCATATAGTCCTTGCACACACTATCCTTTGGCTAGTGAATCTGAGTTCAGATTCCAGAATGTCAGGACTCACCTTAGGTAGACCAATGGACTCCATTGCTCGTAACCACTGGACTGTATTATCTGTGTGTCGGAAATGAAGGCCGGACTTCTAATGTGAGGAGGGGTAGAAAAAAAAAGGGATCACTAAAAGTCAAATTATTTGGAATAATACTCCCATTAGCGGGATACCTTTTAATTGCCATTCACCTAGAACAGGGTTAAGAATACTCATAAAACAATGGCACAAGTCCAAATGTAACAGATTCTAATCTAAGTCCCTATTTTCTCCTCCACTGGCTGCATGGGTATTTTTTTTCTTGCTACGAGGAGTTAAATAAACCTAATTGTGCCTCCCTAGGTGGGTTTCTGGGGCCTTTGGCCACTGGCCTTCAACAACCCCAAATCATGTTAACAAAGACACCCCATCTATTTAGTGGTCTTAGTAAATGGGTAACCTCTGGAAAGTTACAAACTTCTCTGAACCTCAGTTCCTGTGCCATAAAATGGAAATAGGTTGCTTCTCAGAGTTTCTGAGATTAAATGGGAATATACATAAAGCATTTTATTGCAAAGTGCATTAAGAGTGCAATGAATATTAGCTATTATATTACTATACTATTTTCTGGGCTTAAAATTTTTATTCATCTTTAAGTTTAGAAAAAGGTTAGTATTTCATGTAAGAGAAATGGAGGGGGAAGGCGGCTATCATGGTCTTATTCCTACAATAAATTAAACGACAGTTTTCCTATCCTTTATTCACTTTCAACACGTGAGGAATGCTGACTTCAGAACCACAGAAGTAAGCTTTAGTGAGCGAGTTGCATTAACATTTCCAATCTCCTAGATGTTCTTTAATTAGAACAAAAATGCTCTTCTAAAAACAGTGTTAGTCCATTATAAACATTTTTAGCTAGTCATTATTTTTAACCAGTCCTACATTTAACACTAAGTTGGGTGGCATGTACATAGTTCTATTTCTTTCAGGTAGTAGACTAGAAATTATATGTTGATTTTCCACTGCTGAGCAATTACAGCATCAGCAAGCAAGGTTATGCTAGCTCAAACTGATAAGATGAGAATTATGGACGTTTTCTTTGGACTGTACATTTTTTACATAGCAGAATCAGAGCATTTTAGAACTATGAGGTAACCTAGAAACCAAGAAATATTCTAATGTGATTATTCAATACGCTGGAGTTGACCTAACTTGTCCAACTTAGGGTCAAGAGTGGTTTGCAAGAGCCCTGACTCCAATGTCGAATATTCTGTTCAATTACTGCTCTTGAAGCCTCAGAACACCAAGCACTCAGACACTGATTTCTAGCAGGCCCTGTGCCAGGCACCCTGCAAGGATGCACTCAAGAGTGCAATACATATTAGCTGCTATATTATTATACACTCAAGAGTGCAATAAATTATATTACACACATATCTTTGTTTCTCAATTTCTCTACAAAGATGGCTGTTATTATCACTCTCACTCCACAGGTGAGGAAACAGACTCAGAGAGGCATAGTGATGAAGTGTTTTGATTCCACATCTCACACTATGAACCACTATATACCTGATTTCCCTACCTAAGGCTCACCTAAACGTTCAACCAGTATTTATTGTAAGGCTACAATTATCAGCACACTGTCAGAAATGATCGACTATTTTTCTGACTTTGAGCTCCAAAGCTGAGGCCTCCCCAAATAATGTCCTTCCTTCTTTTCCTTCTCCTCTTCCCCTCTCCTTCCTAGTCGGCTTGGGAAATACTCATCATTCAAACATCCATGGTGCAAATCTCCTGGTCTCTTCACCACTTTTCTAGAATGCACTCTCCCTCCCTATTTGTCTCTCACTGCCCATCCATGCATCTGCTCTTCACCAGTCTCCACACATTTCCAATTCCTTTGCCAGATTTGCTTTGTTTTCCCTCTTGAATCCATTCACTGCTTAGCTATGCAGGCCTCTGTCACCTGGACAGAACAATCCCCTTTCCAGACTCTGTTTCTACCTTCAACCTCCCTCTAAGTGATTCTCCACACAGCAGAGAACTGATCTTTCCAAAGCACAAGCCATACCATGACGCGGTAGCTAACATTTCAATGATTTCCCTGCACTAAGGATGACATCACAGACCCTTGGCATGCGCCTGTGGATCTGTCTCTCCTTCCCTTCTGGTCTCCACTATTGCCCATTACTTGTTCCACCAGGGTCAACACCGAGGCCATTAGATCTTGAAGGCAGAGCTATGTCCCTGGGCACAGAATGTCTGATGAGGTGTTACCATATTTTATGGCTGCAATTTAGCTGTCCCTGCAGAAGAGCCTATGCTCACTGGACTCATGGCTTCCAGATGGCACACCGAGGGACTGGGCCCCAGTCAGCAGGGCGCCTTGTGTCTCAGCATCTTCCTGCAGTTCCATGAATTAATGCCCCTTACACAGGACCACGAAATGGATGCTAGTACTGACAAGCACAAGAACAAGAAGTAAGCTCTCCTGTCCACTGCTAGTTGTTTCCTTTCACTATTGTAAAGGAAATGAAATGGCCTCAAAATAAAATCTGTAATTATATGGCAAATCATTAAAAATTCCCACTTGAGGACATTAAGCACTTTCAGGGATTTAATCCAAGGAGCAGAAAAGGCAGGTCCCTTCAAACAAAGGGGCCATTTCAATCTGTTCTGTGGCTTCTTCCACATTACAGCTGGCATCAACCACCCTCCTTCTGCTACTTCCTGTCTTTCTACCTCTCTCAGTACCCCTTTCTGTGCACCCCAGTTTTTCAGGGGCAGGATGGGATAGGAATTGGCAAGAAAACAACACTTCCCTCTCCTGCCATGTTTGGCTCAGGGATGTCATCACCTGCCCAGGCTCCATGTCTATTTTATTTTGTAACAAAAGATTGGAAATCGTTCACCTGCCCCCATTCCAAAGAGTGATCACTATTCATTTAAGTGGTAGATCTCTGAAGTCAGAAGGGAAGAGTACCTGTTTAAATTGCCATGAGGCGGTCCACAGCTCTGATAATCTTTGTGAATTACAGGAAAGAGATTCCTTTCCTATACATGTATGACATGCATGACATGGCGGGGGAGAAAAGTACTGGTCCACTCTCTGTGCAGAGGCTCAGCTCCAACGGGACTGTTTTGGACGGAATCTCATCAGACTCAACATTGATACAAAATGCCCATAATCCCCTTTCAGGGGGGAGAGAACCAATCCAAGCACGCTTTACCTCTGTTGTAAACCCACACACTGTTAAAGCTAATACACTTATATATTGGCAGTAGTCACTGTAGGGATGTAATGAAAAGAAGAAAAAAAAAAAAAGATCATGCTCTAACCTGTGCAAACCTGTGCACAAAGGTAACCTTATTTTGTGACATGGAAATATCCATGATTTTCTTCCCCCTTAGGTTTAAAAACATTCTTCAATGCTAAGAAAAACGAATTGTGGCACTAAAGTGATTGCTTAAAGAAGTTTTGTAAATGGCTATAAAATGAGCTGAAATTCTGGGCTGAAACACCTGATTTAATAAACTCAAACTTGCTGTAGCAAATGCTAAAGATTCATTCACAACATTATTTAAGGAAGAAACTTCACCTAGTAACGTTCTAGACTAGGTCATGAAAACAGACTCAGAAAAGATTTGTCAATTCATGTTGTCACTTAACTTGAATATTATTCAACACTTGGCCTGAATTCAAATCGCATATTAAAAAAAAAAACTATCTTAATAACAACAGAAAGGCATTGTGAATCATGCAATAAGTGAGAAATAGAGAGTATAATATAATGAGCTCCTCATACCCATCATCCAGCGTCAATAATTTTGAATACATGGCCAGTTTTCAATCATCTTTCCAACACCCTCCTAATTATCTTGAAGGAAATCCTAGATTTTCCACCTTACCTGTAGATACTGAGACACAGATCTCTAAAAAAGTCAAAATTTTAAAGTGAATACAATATTGGTATCAAAATTTAAAATTCATGTAAGACTGGTATTTATTTTCATGTGATTTTTCTCCCCAATACACTGTCTCAAATTAGCCATGAAATAATTCTTGAACTAGTTGTGCACAGAAAGTTAGTCTTAACCCCTAGTGGAAATGAAGTCATACCTTACTATTAAACTTTACTGTTCTTTTTATCAAATTGTTCCTAACTTCTTAAGGCCACAAGCTCAAGTCCCTTGATGAGAACAAGGAGACTCATAAACTGTGTCAGTGGTGCAAGAAGGAGGAGAAGAGTGCTCCCACTTTTACATTTACTGGTGCTAATAAAAACGACCTCCATGAAGAAATGATTGGGGGGTTGTGAAGTCCCACAAATTGGAGGTCTTTCAGCCTAGGTCCAGAAATAGAAACTCTTTGCTTTTAAAACTGCAGCTGCCTCAGGAGTGATTATTAACAGGCTTCAAAGACCAAGGACATCCCCTTTACCATAAAGTCCTGGTAGAAGCACTAGAGATAAAAGAAGGGAAAGAGAATAAAACATTGAACTTTTACTTGTAGCTAGAGCTAAAACCAATTAGATCTCAGTTACCTTATAACGTGTTTGTTCCACATCATAGATCTTTTTCTCTGATACCATTTTTGGGGCAAAGAACTTGGCCAACTTGGCTAGGTAAACTCCATTCCGAAGCCCTTCTTCCAGTTCCGTAGTTGGTGGCAATTCTTCCACTAAGCAAACTTCCATCCACCTAGAGGGATTAAAAAGGCCTGAAAGTGACTCCTGTTGGGTAATTTTCTATAAATCAAGAGACAGCATTTCCTGATGTTTGAAACTGTTAGTTAGCAAAGGTAGTAGGGTCTGAAACACCTAAAGGTGTGACAGAACAGAAAGGAGCACTTTCTGTGGGACAAGGGATCAGAACAGGAGATAAAGAGGGAGAATCAAAGCCCAGAGGCACTGAGCTGGCCGCTAAGCCAGAGCTTGTCAACTTCATCTTTGCTGGAGTCACTGCCAACTCTCTTTAATGCCAAAGAGGAAAAAGGCCAAGCCATTTTGTATGGGTGAAATTAGCTCTGCTAACATTATAGAAAAACTGATTTCATGTTTATGAACCCTTATTAGAAGAGATTCTTGCAGAGGCAATACCTTGGGGGAGAACAGACTCCAAGGCACTGCAAAATGTACAGTTGCTTAAGTTCAGAAGAAGCAGGAAGCCATGGGAAAGGGCATCAAAAATTCAGACAGCAGATACTCCTTAAATAATACACATTCCATTTTCAAATACCAGGGACTTACTATAACATGCCCACTTTGAGGGAATATAAGGTATTGTTCTGAAAAAATACTTTAGAGAAAAATCAGTTTACATTTTACCAAGATTGTAGAAGACTAACTCAAGGGCACAGCTAGTTCACATTTCCCTGCTGTGTCGGCCAGAATTATGAGGCTGCCACTATCCCATCCGTTCTCCAGGAGCTATTACCGACTGTTGGATCCAAGGGGCAGGCATGCAGGTCAGTGGAGGGCTGAAGGGCACAGTCCTCCCACAAAATAATCATAAACTATTGATGTAGGCATCGTATCTGTATAGCCAGTTCCCGCGGAGAATCATGAACACAGCACTACCTGATCCTATCATCAGTTAGCAGACAGTAATACCCTGTCCTGCACCAGTCCCAGCTGACCCTGACCCTAGCAGTGAATACTTAGATGTCTCACATGTTTACAACTCTGGGACAACTTCTTTTAAAAGCTCAGAGCCCCTTAAAAACACAGTGTTTACTGGTCACTTATTAGACACTGTGATACAAGGAATAGATGAGAAAAATGAAAACACAGCCCTGCCTTCCAAAAGCATTCCTTGTACTTTAAAAGGCAAAGTAATTCCAAGGGAAAACCAGGGGGCCAGGTAAGAGAGATTGTGACGTCTGGCACGTGTGTAGTACTTAAGTGGAGACATTCGGGAAGGGAATGCCACCAGATTATTACTGGAGTAATAGGGAGAATGTTGAAAAGGGGTGAGGCCTGGAGTTAGCCTAGAAAAGTTGAGTTTGAAAAGGCAGGGGGAGTAGAATAGATGGAAGGCGTAAAGGAAACATGGCCGATTTATGGAGCTAACCCAATGAAGACTTGGGCCTTCGGAGTTCATGAGGAGAAAGGAAATGAAGCTGAGTACATATAGGAGGTTCAGGCTCTGGGGGACCGAGCACAGGAGATGGGGTGCTCTGCGCTGTCAGGGGAAGCAGGGAGTTCCTGGCAGCTTCCCAGCAGAGGAATGACATGCTGACAGTGGCAATTCAAGAAAATTAATCTTGTGTGTGACGGCAGCTTGGAGTCAAAGAGCTCTGTCTGGTCTTTCCTGTTGTGAAGAATTGAGGGACTAGATTAGCCAGGAAGAAACGGGAAGGGAGACAATTCAAGACAGTAACAGGACTTGGTGATAGCTCAGAAAAGAAGGTTGAAGGAAAGACCCCCAGACGGGCCCTTGTGAGGAGGGGCGTGATGTGAAGGAAGCTCATGACGTCACCTCAAGCAAGTCCCTTAACCTCTCTGCACCTCAGTTTTCTTCTCCTCTAAAGACAGAGAGTTAGAAGAGAAGGTCTTTTTCAGTCCTGATATTCTAATGAAATTGGCAAACTGGAACAAGGGAAAAGTGAAAGGAGATAATAAACTTGACTTTTCATGTATGCACAAGGAGAATAAGGGAATTGGGTTTATATGACTCTCATTTCCAAGAAACTGAGGGGGTGCCATGGACTTGATAATTTAAAAAAAGTTAATAATTAAAAAAATTTAAATGAGCAATAATTTTTCCCATAAAAATCTGGCTAAGCTCAAAGTCATAACACTAGACTTTCTATCAAAGTAATGCTACAAATTATAGCATTATGCTATTTCATATGAAAAAACAACTTACTTTAAAAGTTACCGTGAAAAAAACAAAGTATCTGCCACATAACAACTGATTTATAACAATGTCACGATTGAGGGACATGTGTGAGGAGTGAAGGCAAGAAAATTGACAAGTGGTGGTAGGAGGAGGAGATTAAATTGATAATTAAGTCTGAGAGGCAGGAAATTAAAAGGTCTTAAGTATATGTGGCTTGTTAAAAATACAATCCACTTATTTTTATCTAAATTGGGATGTATGTAAAGTTGGCTTAAATACCAATGATACCCAAAACGTAGGCTATAGTTAACCTATTAAAAATAGAACCATTACTAAAGTTTATGAGATGAGCTACTTGAGGTGTATCTCTCCTTCCTCTTCATAATACCATTGTGCCTGGCAACATGTTTATACACAGCAGGCACCCAAAAAATCATTATATAGTCTTGTTGCTTAAGAACAATTTTCGAGTACCACAGTTACATCCTGAGATATTTTATGACATCCCCTTAAGACATTTTTGCAACACTGGGCATGAACAGAGATATCTACCTTCTTTCACTGCCTTGGAAGTCAAAGGCAGATGCTATTGTCATTAAGGACAACTAGTATTTCTGAAGCACTAGACTTTGTGGGTATTATCATTTAACCCTCAAGACCATTCCATAAGCAAGAGGCACCATGAGAACCACAATTTGCTGAGATAGCTGAGGCTCAGCGCGAAGGCCAAGGCCACTCAGCTAATAATTGAAAGAACTCAAAGTTGTCAGGGGTATTTGTTCCCAAATTTCATTTTTTAACTTCTCACAACTCAACAAAAAGGAGAATGAATCCTTCAGTCCAGTGCCACAGACAGTGTAAAATAAAAGATATAACAAGGCTACTTGTGCAGCAGCATTTCCATGGCTTGGAGACACACTTGCAATCACTGCTTATGTAAGGTCAGAGGACGGTATATCACTATCAAACTTGAATCAGTTTCTCAGGATGTCAACTTTTCTCTTAGAAGTCCCACTTTGTCACATATCTTGAAGTAGTAAAAGGTGAATGACCTGGGCTGTCTCTTTTGTGTGCCATGCAAGCAGGGGTTGGGTATGACAAGTTTAGAGTCTTTCTAAATAGGGCCACTTTCTAGAAACACCTACAAGACTAGACAGCATCACATAGAGTCTAATAATAATATCATAGTTGGAAAGCCCTATATAGTATTAGTCAGTTCATGATAAATATACAGTGACTGGTAGTAAGGTTATTCTTCTGGGACAGTTATTCAATGCTGCTGACAGAATAACCAGCCAGACTGCCCACTTAACACTGTTCTAAAGTATTAAAATACCTTCTAATAAAATAAGCTAATTTCTAACATGGTTGAATATTCTTTTGATCTATTTTTCAAAAGTAAGAAGCAGGAGAGGCCCTCCCTGGTGGCGCAGCAGGTTAAAGCACAGCACTAAGAAGCTAAAGCCACTTCAGCATAAGTTCGATCTCCGGCTCTGGAAGTGACCCACATGGTGCAGCAGACCTTTCCTGACCCACCCACTGCTCCCCTCAGCAGTGTACTTCGTCAGTCTTTGGGAGCCTGTTCAGCTCCCCAGTCTGTCTCTGGTGAATACTCTTACCACCACTGCATCTCTGGCCTGTATCTCAGTTCTGTATGCATAAATAAATCTTTAAAAAAAAAAAAAAAACATGAAAAAAGAGAATCAGGAGAACTTAGAGCACAGATCCCAAGTGGTTTATCCCAGAAGCTAGGAGGCAGCCAGAAGTGGTCACAGCCCCACAGTATCTGTGTAGGGGCAAGTGACTGGTCTGTGACCACAGACTATGAAAGGAAATGATGTTCCTTCCTCCCAAGTCCTGGTTTAGAAAACTGTCCCACAATGAACCTCCAATGTCCTTCACTGTCTGCTAGCTGGACACTAAAGCCCAAGGCAACCTTGAAAGAGAAGGTGGAAGAGAACCCCCAATAGCCTGAGTCTCTGAATAACTGTGAAGTACCTCCCCTCCCCAGTTCTCTTAATTCTTACCCTGTACTACTCAATCCTTACATGAGCAAGAATTAAACTACTATTCCCAACCCCCAACTTGGTGACTTATCTGTTACATAAGCTGGTGTTATCCAGCCCAACCAATAAAAATTCTAAGTGTGATTTTTAAGGTCTGTTGGGGGTCAAGCATTCTATAATAATCCCAGTGTAGGAACAGCTGGCTTGATGTCCAGGAAGTCTGGCTTTGCAGTTAAAGCTGGATTTACTGGAACAGGTCACTTCAAATTCTGAACACTCAGTTGTTAAGTCTTTGAGGACAAAATTATAATGGAATTCAATATGACACTATAATTATGTAATATAATTGTTTTGTTTTAAAAAACAGTTTTATTGGGAAATAATCTCCATGCTAACCCATTTAAAATGCGCAATGTGGGCCTTCCCTGTTGGGCACCAGGTTAAAGCTCAACACATTGAAGCTAGGAGCAGCTGCTTGACCACGAGTTCAATCGCTGGCCACGGAGGTGACCCACATGGTGGCAGACCTCTCCAGACCCGCCCATTGCTCCCCTCAGCAGTGTACTTTGCACTGTTCTGCTCCCCTCTCTACCCCTACTGAATTCTCTCACCTCTCCTGCACTTCTGACCTGTATCCCAGTTTTGTATGCATAAATAAATACATCTTTTTTCAAAAATTAAAAAAAAATGCAGTGTGACCACTATCGATTTTGAATATCTTCATACTCCAAAATGAAACTCTTCCCAACTGACTAATTGAGTTTCTGTTACCAGAACTGCCTCTTCTGGACATTTCATATGAATGGAATCAAGCAGTATGTGGCCTTGTATGACCAGCTTCTTTCACTTAGT